ACAATACTGTTTAAAGGAAAGAGGAATAAAAGCTAAGTATAAATAATTTTAAAAACAATTAATGAAATAAAATTGTAAAAATAAATAATAATGACTTTTTATTAAAAATATTTTAGATATCGATTGATATCTAATTGAATAATTTTCTTTTCGAAAAAAAAAGTAAGTAAAATTAAATAATTTTTCGGTTATAATTGATATGCAATTAAACTTTACTAAAAACGTTTTTATAAAAGTGGGGTATCTGTAGGATGATAAAAACAAAAAAAACAGCACAAATTATCCATGATTAAATGAATCCATGATTACAACTTGTAGTTTGGGCACTCAATAGTCCCGTTTGAATCGTTTTAACAAAGACAAACTGTATTTGTATTTGAAGAAGATTGTGCCTAGTTTACTATTTTCCTCAATGCTTCCTACTTGGTCACAAATAAAATCATCTATAACGACCTTAATATACCATATGTTTCCGATTTAGCTCAATCCAGATACCTATCCTTCCATAATAAACTTCCGAACTATCTCCAAACCCTCTTGTTTCCAACCTTGCTTCCTCTTCTATTCCTGATAACCCTCCGAGGCGTCTGAAAAAAAGATGGCCTCGGGTCCTACTAATATAGAAATGTAATTGGAGTGATACCAATGGGTAGTTTCTCTTCATGTTGTACATGTCAAGTTACTTATTTCATATAGTTGTATTTATCATTATACAGTTGTAAATTACAATAATAAAAAAAACATGTTACGTGAACAATAATTGTAGTGATATATGAACACATTCACAACAATTACCTGAATTGTTTTAATATATTCCGAAATAAAAATATTATTTTTATAATTACTGCAATTTAAAATAAACAAATTATTATTTTTTTTGTTATTCATGCTTACCATTTATTCATCTTGTCTTTTTGACATTACTGTATGTCAGTAAAAAAAAAAAAAATTAAAATTAAATCAATTTTTTCCCTTACATTAAATATAATATTTTCGGCAATCTTTATCAATAATTATTTTTTCTAAGAACATTATTTAATTAGTGTCAATCAACATCTACAATATTTTTAATAAAAAGTGCTCATTGTTATTTCCTTATTTATTTTTGTAATTTATCATTTGTTTTATTTAAATCTTAGCCATTATTATTTTTTTAAATTATTTACACTTAGCACTTATTTCTCTTGCATTTTGACAGTATTGTTTGTTAGTAAAAGATTAATTAGAACAAAATTAATAATTTGTTTATATATACAAAAAATAAATATATATATATATATATATATATATATATATATATAATATTAATTTTAAACGATTAAAGTTCCCCAGCGGGCAGACAGAGCTGAGGTGTCTGAATCGCTATAGGGTTTGTAATGGATCAGTCCCCAGGGTCGCTACAAACCCTAGACGGTACAGACAGTGTCTGAATCCGTATAGGGTTTGTAAATACGCGCCCCGACCACAAGATGCTCTGAATGTTCAGGGCATGTAGTTCACTTCATGACCCGATGACGACTAAACGCGTTACCTGTATGTTCCATCAGGGGTTAGACATTTGACGTACATCAAAGGAATCCTATTAATCAAAATCCGTCATGTAATTCAATGTTTTCCAAGGTACTGAGAAAAGCAATAATGGCATTGAAATTTCTATTTTTAATTTCAATATTTCAATTTCATATATCGTTTCTTATAGGATAGAATAATTAATAAAGCCTCATATTTAATTTTATTATAATTAACACTGTTTAATATTGAATAATGTTACAAGTTCATTTAGTAAAAATTGATTAAACAGATACAGGATTTCATTGAACTTCATAAGTGAATTATAGCTATTTGTTTCTTCTTTTCCACTGAATACATATACATTGAATTCAAATAATTATACTGTAAAAGAAAAGACGGTAAAAGTAAAATAAATATTTTCAATAAATTAATGGTATATTGTACCAACTATATATGGTACCGACCCAGTACCATTCGACATTCAGCGACCCCAGGCAATGACGTCATTTCCTCTCCCCTCCCCCCCCCCCCTTAAAATATTAAATTTATTTCTCAAGCTGTTATGTTATACTATGTAATACTGAATTTTATTTCATTGAATATTTCTCTGATAGAGTTCCTTTATTGATAGTTTAAAATTAATTATTTGAAGATATTTCGTATTTTTTTTTTAACAAGTGACGAGCTCCCCTGAAGATCAGCCTCGCCCTAAGGTCGGTTCTGAACCGAACTGATTACTTTTTTGTTTTTTCATTTGTTGCTACTTTATTTTAAATTTGTTCTGTGTTCCATATCCAAAGACAAGACAATAGTTGAATTTATCACACACACTTAGATGTCAATGCTGAAACTGGAAATATGAAAGGCAGTGGTTAGCTTGTGTTTAAGCACTTACAATAAAGTCATATCAGCCTCTCTTCCGATACACTGCTATGCGGCGGCCTTAAGATATCATTTTATAAATATAAGTGAAAAAGAGTGTTTTTTTATTTTATTTTTTATTTCCTGGTTTAAAAGTTCTCTTAAAACTGAAAACTTAATGTGGGCCCCAAAAAGTTTGATGGCGTTGTACTTGCGCCATAGAACATTCCTGGACCTAAATGAATACTATTATTATGTTTAGGATCATTTTATATAAAATTATAATAATAAAACTATATAAATTTATAACTACCAGTGATATACTATCTAATATGTTATTATTATTGATATTTATTGATAAGACGACAGCAGGAAAGACATCTTGTAAAAGTTTTATAAGACATAACGGAGCCGTGCTCTGCAACCGAAAATCCCGTTGATGGCGACGCCAACGCATCGACTTCATGCTATTCCTTTAATAATCGTTATATATATATATATATATATATATATATATATATATATATATATCCCTTTTTTTTAATTTAAAGCGAATAATTAGTGAAGATAATATCATTCAAAGTTTCGGAAAATACTTCTAGCTTTTTTTTCTTATAGTTGTGTGTCATTCTAAGGTAATCATATAATTGAATCTTCGTGAACTATTTAAATTAGAATAATTACAACATGATTTATTTTGACTACTGCAGTTGACGAATAATGTTGGTATTAATTTTTTACTTGGACCATATTATTATGCTTCCATAAAAGCACGAAATAGAAATCAACTGGAAAAAAGAATGATTTTTTTTTACTTTATTAATTAATATAATTTGATACTCAAAATAAAAGTAGACTACGCTGTTAATACAAATTTAATTTTTATTCAAATCATCAGATGGTATAATTTATATATATAAATCGTTCATAAATTATTTTATTCTCTAACATTCAATTTAACATTTTTTTTTTCGCGCGCGCGTTTCATCAGTAAAACACATAATACTTGATTGTGTCCAATAAAGTATTTTATTAAAATAAATACTTTACATTCTATAAGTAATAAATTGGACAATCAATACCATTAACCAACCATTATTTAAATTGTCGCCTGGGTATCTGTGAAAAAATTAAATAAAATTATACATACATAAATAATAATTAATTTTATAAATATATTGATCAGTAAAAAAAGGTAAAAAAATAAATAATTATATTTATTTTTACATTTTATTTTACTGATCACTCCAAACAATATTCTCTTCAATTATTCACTACAATCAACCATCAATCCACAAATATTATAAATAGTTTGTGATAACATTACGATTTGGTTACATATTTACTAATAAGCTTAGAAATAGATAAGTTAATAATAATACAGTCATATCCTTTCGGAGACCGCTTGGTAAATTTAGTTTAATATTAACAAGAATAAAAATAATACAATGTTTTAAGAAAATTAGTTGTCATAATTTTTAATTTAGAATATATTTTGACTTGTAAATGCTAATATTTTAATTTCGTAAACGGTTTGAGGTTATTAATGAATGAGAAAAAATAATGAAATTTAAAAATAATGAAAAGAATAGGAGACCGGTAAAAGACGCACCTTAATACTTTGAAGCAACCCGAAGCGGGGAAGTTGAATTTTTAAATATGTTCAAGGTAGCCAATTCCAAACCGATCCCAGAAATCTACCTGCTTGATTTCCATTTTTTAATAAATATTTTTTTAGTAAAATTATAACTAAAATGTTTGTCTCAAGAATCGGAGTGTAAAATCCAGCAGAATTTGGAATAACAGTTGCTAACTTGAAATTTATGTATTATTGATTTATTGAGACATTTCACTGCACATGTGCATTGCTAATTTTTTTAAATAATAATAATGGAGGCCTACTACAAAGAATTATTCGTGAAATGTGTATTGCACTTATATAACAAATATTTAAAAATAAATCAGAAAATCCAGTCAATAATAGTTCGATGATAATATATATATGTGTAATTTTCTTTACTTATGTATGTGATATAAATTTAAAAAAAATACATTATCGAACTGGAAATTACTTTGAAAAGATATCCTAGATATATTATTGAGTCAGATGATCTAAACAAAATGTCTGAAAATCAAGGTACGCTACTCAAATATGAGAGAATTCTACTGGGATTTTAAAATAAAATTGAGTTATTTCCTGTAAAATTATAATTTTCAAAGATGTTGAAAAGTGACTTTCTCTGGAGCGATTGAGGAATATTCGTTGTGGATATAAATATAGGAATGGAAGGTAGGTATTGTCTATGAGAGGTGTAGAGGCAGAGGAGTGGGGGAAGGGCACCGCCAGGTAGGACAAAGACTTGCCAGCTGCCTGCTTCCAACGACTGTGCAATGCCAACTAACTTTTACAGTCGCTCCAGCATTCTCCCAACATTTCAATTATGAATGCTATAACATCGAGCAGTCCAATAGCTGGCAGGGTCCTCGGCTCCTATCAAAAGAACCTTTTTTCACCGACTTTTTGACCAAATTAGCAGCCATAATTAATAATTCGGAACGAGAGAGATACAACCCGAAAAACATAAAAGTGAAAGAGTGCCATCGTAAGTGACATTTTGAGTCAAAATATGAAGGAATGGGGACGAGAAAGAGCCTCTAGGAAACAATTTTCGAGAGAATTTAACGCTGCTGAGGGCAGATGCACGACCGCCTCCCCGCCAAAACCCCTTTCCACCAGCATTACTCCACTGGATCTCGACACTACTAAGTCAATTTGATATATTATCAAAATTTTGGGCGCATTTATGACAACTTGACAGCAATTTTCAATTTCTGACTTGCGGATATTATTTTTTTTTAAAAAAAGGTAAAATATGCGGAATCAAAAGGAATAATTTAAGTATGTTTATCATGATGATTAAAAAAACTCTCGACCACTAGACTCGATGAGACAGTGGACATTACGGAGCAACAGGTTTAGTAGATTCCAAGTCCCCGCGCTCGCCTTTAGCACTGAGCGAATTAAATTTTTTTTATAAAAGATTAATTTATCAAAATTTTTCCGAGATGTTATTTTTTAATTATTGATTAATGGTAATAAAATTACGATCCTACCTTGAGCGTAGGCTGGTAGCGCGGATGCAGCAACCAATATAACGATGACAGCTCTCAAATCCATCTTGAGTGTTGATAAAAAAAAAAAGGTCAAGTTGATGTTGCAGAAATGGGACTTTACATTCTGAGGTGCCGAGGACTGGCTCCGCTTTGCAAGACTGGAACGGAAGACGGCCGCCGACTGAGAGCGGGTCTCGTGGAGGGGGGAAGCCTCCGAACCGGAGAATGCCGAGCGCGTTCGGATAAGTTCGGAGACTCCAATTCAACGGAAAGCAACTGCCGATGCCGCCATCTACCATCTTCTTCATCATTCTTTGTCTTTCTCTTTCTGTCCTCGACGGAGAGGGTTATTTCTTCATCTTTATTATATCAGAAATCTATTTTCCATGGCTAAGAACTAAATATTACTTAATTTACGGGCTCCATTGGACAATTGGAAAGACCGAGCTTGGAGAATCAGTTGCCGCCATCATAATTTGAATACAGTCCGGCTTCCAGTTATCTTCAGGAAGCTTTATTGATTATTTGTTGATTCGGTCTATTATAAAATAATCTTTTCATAATAAATCAACCTAAATAAATTATTGCCGCCACTTAATAAACGTATGACTTTTTTTTAAAACTGTAATTATCTCTTTCCAGTTCCACTGAAAGATCGCACTTTATTTGTTCTGTGATAAGGGAATAGATGATAAGAGAACTAGTAATATCTTCGGATCGCGGTCTCGGATCGCGTTCTATGTGCCTAGGCCTTTAAAATATAATACTTCTCAACAATCGACGCTGAATAAAATAAATTCGGAAAAAAGCAAAGCTATTTTACAAAAGTCACCAAAATAAAAATTACATATATATATATATATATATATATATATATATATATATATATATATATATATATATATATATATATATATACTGCTGTAAAAGTCTTCGAACAAACCAAATTTTTATAAAATTGACAAATATTTCAGCTTAAAGTGTTTCTTTATTGTAAGCTGATTTCATTTAGCAGACATTGTGTATGTAATACATATTTAAATTAGCATTATTTTCAATTCACTGCAAGCCAAGAGACAAATCCGTTGTCTTGAATACCTTATTGTTTAAATTTCAATACTTTGTTATCCACTTCCGTCTTTAGTATTTATTGTTAACATTAAAAGCCGTTGTACGAAATCTAGGAAGCTGAGTCTATCTGTAAAAACTGTTCTAATATCGGTATTTTTCAATTTCTTCAGAAATGTAATTTAAATTTCCATATTTCATAATTTCTTTTTTTCTTTTTGTTTTCTATTCATTGTTACTTCTTCTTCTTTCGATAAAATGGCAAAATATAACATTTATGGCCGACATAAAATTATAATTATGCATCAAAAAGAACTTCCGACTAGTGAAAATCAAAAAGAAGTTGATATATATATATATATATATATATATATATATATATATATATATATATATATATATATATATATATATATATATATATATATATAGATAGATATATATTTTTTTTTTTTTTTTTATCAATTTTATTATAAAAACAAGTAAAATGGATACTTGAAACGTTCAGGCAGAACTAAAAAACATAAACCTGTTGCTAAACAATAATTAAAATAATTTCTGTATGCAAAACCGCAGAAAACCTAGTAGAGAACTGATTCAGGAAATAGCGAAATAAATATTCTAGCGACACTAATCCAAAAAAAAAAAACTTTTTATAGGCATCAAAAGGTTACAATTAACAAGGCATTATTTCTTAACTGCACTAGGCTATTAACTATAGACAATAAAATGTTTACTATGAGAGTCACGTCTGTCTGTATGTCGCTGACTGCTCGAATGATCAACTGAACTGATGTCATCTGTTCCGAAGGGCTGATATATATATATATATATATATATATATATATATATATATATATATATATTCAAGTTCTGAGTTGCTGACTTCAGCTATGACGATAAGGGCTATATCCTAAGGATTTATGTGCCGATGCTACTAGTACCCAATGAAACTCCTATCATTAGGCTTTAAAGGTTTTATTCCCAGAATAAAACTATTTATTCGGTCTCTAAACTAGGGAAGGCGACTTAATTTTGCCAAAGAACACGAAAATTGAACGGAAGAAGTATGGAACAAATTTTTAATGAAAGATGAATCAAAATTTGAAATGTTTGGTTTCAGAGGGAGACAATATATTACAGAAGATATGGAATTTTCGGATGAATGTTTACGACCTACGGTAAAACACGGAGTTGCTTCTTACTGGTTTGAGGGTGTTTTGTTGCTAAATCTGAAGCACAGGCGGATGCAGGCAGGAAGAGGGGAGTGGGCTTTCCTCCCCAAAATGGTAAAACATAACATTTTATGGAAAATAATATTAAAAATTATCTCTTAAAGTATTATTGTTCGTGTAATTACATTTAATAGAACTTCAAGAATAACTTAAACACCTTTTCATAATTGGTAAATGGTTGACTGTCGTGGATAATGAAGAGAAGAATAGTTGGGGTGGTCAGTCAAAAAAGAAGGCAAAAATAAATGATAATATTTATTTTTACATATGCCGACGTTTCGACCTGAAGTTCAGGCCATCATCAGGGCTAAGAAAATACCCAGATAACAAGGTATGAGAAACATAAGTAGTGATGGTAAAAAAAATAAAATAAAAAAATAAAGTAAAATGAAATTGTTAGAATAATGACAACAGTAAGAACTAGAACAAGAACTATAGTAAGTATATTTATCTCTAAGTTCTTACTATTGTCATTATTCTAACAATTTCATTTTACTTTATTTTATTATTTTTTTTTCTTTATATTTTTTTACCATCACTGCTTATGTTTCTCATACCTTGTTATCTGGTTATTTTCTTAGCCCTGATGAAGGCCTGAACTTCAGGTCGAAACGTCGGCATATGTAAAAATAAATATTATCATTTATTTTTGCCTTCTTTTTTCACTGACCACCCCAACTATTCTTCTTTTCAATAAACACCTTTTCATTTAAGTAGTTGGTCTCTTCCTTTTTTTCCAAAGTAATTATCGTTAAATACACGAACAAAAACTTTTAGGCTGAAGCTCCCCTCCAAAATTAAATCCTGGATTCGCTAGTGATCTGAAATGTGAGATTTCTTGGGAATAGGCGGAAAACTAGAGGTACATTGGTACCATAGCAGCCTTACATACCTTCTCAGATTAACCTGATTGGAAAGATATTGTGAGTATTTTGCCATATTTTAAATAAAGGAACAGTAAAAATAAGATAAAAATAAATTATGATAATTTATAATAAATAAATACGGAATGTATTTTTTAATAATATTTACAACTGTATTAAAGAACTACATTTAGTATAATTGAACTTATGGATATAATGACGTGAAAACACTTGTTGAGAAACTACCCAATGGTAGCACTCTTACAATATATCTATATTAGAAGATCAAGAAGCCATCTTCTTTTCAGACGCCTCGGAGGGTTATCAGGAATTGAAGAGGAAGTAAGGTTAGAAACGAGGGGGTTGGCATGATTCTGAAGTTCATTATGGAAGGATAGGTGTCTGGATTGGGCCAGATCTGAAACATAAGAAGTATTAAGGTCATTATGGACGATTTTATTTGTAACAAAGTAGGGAGCATTGAGGAGTTTACGAAGGATTTTGGATTGTAAGGATTGGATACGAGAGGAATTCGATGGTTTGGTGGAGCCCCATAGCTCAACTCCGTAAGTATAAATAGGCCTTATTATAGTCATGTATATGAGTCTTTTGTAATTAATTGGAAGTTTAGAGCGTTTGTCTAGTAAGTGCTGAAGTAATCGGAAACGTAGAGCGGTTTCTCGTCGTTTCAGTCTGGTATGTTAAATTAAATTTGCTGAAAATAACATCAACACAAATGATTAGTCCCATGAGTTGTCGATAATTCGAAATAACGATAGTTTTTTTTTTTCAATTCCTTATCAAGAAATATTACATTGTGTCACATCATAGGACAATAGTAATAGTGACAGAACAGTAGCTCATTCAAACTCTATGTAAAATAAATAAACAGCTAAATAATAACACTAAAAGTAAATGTATATAAACTAAAAAATACTAAACTATTCTAAAGTAATTAAATTTAAATATACAGTACATCTACAATGTCTGCAAGGCCAAATCAATTTATAATTAAGAAGATAAAAAAACTTTAAAATTGAACCATTTATCATTTGTTGTGCTGGATCCGTTAGTGATTACAATTAACTGTCATTTATTGTTTTCCGTGATATGTGGTTTTATTGTAATTGCCTAAAAACACATTTTATGTAGAAATATAAAAAAAAAATGATTTTTTACGTATAGTGGTTATGAAAATTGTGTTTTTCTTCCAGATCTCCGTCATTGGAAGTAGCATGTATTTATCAGTGACAAACTTATTAATGTTTCTAACTAAAATTTACGTTTTAAATAAAGAAACCTACTGATTCCTTTAATTATTTTCATGAAAAAGTAAGATTTGTGTTTTTTTAATGCGATTCAAGTTTTTTGTTGAATAGGAAGTGACAACTTAAAAAATATTTCCTTTAAGCAATTATACATTGCTCCATAGTAAACTAGACAAAATTTTATTATTATCATACAACTACATTATAGATACTCCACTTTTAGGAAACATCGTCATTTAATAAGCTTTTAGTCGGTATTAATTAGGTTGAGGTCTATTAGGCAAAAACTTGGGTTTGACCTCTAGTTGTTAAAAAAAAAAAAAAGTATGTGATTTCTCATCACATAAAATAAAAGTGTTTTCAGCAAAAATGGCTAAAATTCATTAATACCGTTCGGGTGCATTTCTGGACATAGCACAAGTATTCGAGCGGGTACGGCACGCCGGATTGCTCTTCAAGCTTCAAATCCATTTACGTTATTTAAACTTAATGTTTCTAGTCCTATTATCTAAGTTTTAAAAACATTATTTGAATTTTTTTTATATTTATTAATAAAACTTGGTTTTAGGTAATTATGTTTATTACAATACATTCCATATCACGTAAGAACTAGAAATAAAAACAGTAAATGTTAGTCATTTTTGCAGAAAACACCGGTACTTTTAGGTTTCTGGATAGAAAATCACATAATTTCTTTCAGAACTTGAGATGAATCTCAATTTTTTTCCCTATTAAACATCAACAAGTTTTTCTAAAAGTGGAATAAATGTTGTACAGTTAAAGGGTTATCAAAACAAATCACAAATCAATTA